TGAGCGAGGAGGTTATAACTAAACGGGGACAGGGTGAGGAGAGGAGGTTATAACTGAACGGGGAAGGGTAAGGGAGGAGAGTTATAACTGCAAGCGGGAAGGGTTGAAGAGAGGAGGTTATAACTGAACGGGGAAGGGTTAAGGAGGAGGTTATAACTGAACGGGGAAAGGGGAAGGAGGAGGTTATCACTGAACGGAAGAGTGGGGAGGAGTTATAACTGAACGGGAAGGGTGAGCGGAGGGAGGTTATAACTGAACGGGAAGGTAAGGGAGGAGGTTATAACTGAACGGGGAAGGGTGAGGAGGAGGTTATAACTGACAGGGGGAAGGTCTGTTAAAGGAGGAGTTATCCTGAAGCGGAAACGGTGAAAGGAGGAGCAGTTATAACTGAACGGGAAGAGTGAGGGAGGAAGGTTATAACTGAACGGGGAAGGGTTGAGGAGGAGGTTATAACTGAACGGGTAAGGGTGAGGAGGCGTTAAACTGAACGGGGAAGGTAGGAGGAGGTTATAACTGACACGGGAAGGGGAGGAGAGGAGGTTATAACTGAATCGGGGAGGCTGAGGAGGTTATAACTGAACGGGGAAGGCTGAGGGCGGATGTATTTGCGATCATGCATTTCTCCTTCATGATCTTATAATTATACCCTTTCCCTCATGCACCTCTCCACCTCCCACTCCCCCCCCGCCTACACAACCTCTCATAAATATGTGCCTGCGTTCGTTTAACCGGGAGACGCGTACAAGGAGGGGGCGTGTGACGTGTCAGTGACGTCAGGCGCTGCCGCCAGGGGACGGCTTAATCGCACGCCGTGGCGACGAGTCACGTGCATGGCAGCGACGCGGCGGATGCCTCGAGATGTCAGAACTGGCCTCCAGGGGGCGCTCGTTGCGCCTCTGCTTAACGATAACAGTGCTCTCGTTCGCGTCTCTCACGTTGACTGTCGCCAACGTCGCTGCACGAGAAACTGCAGCCCGCAGCCTATAGACGGTCGCCCGCCTCCGCGCAGTCTCTCACACCCAAGCTGTGTAACAGTCGCTGTTGTAGCCACGGACGCACGTCGGTGCCAGTCTATTCGATGGCAATTGAAGTCTCATTGCTCACATTCTGCATTTATTAGTGTCCGTTGTAATGTCAGTGAGGTGCGATAAAACTACGGATAGAGATAATTGCGATATCCCTGATTTGCATGTATGACTTTGCGATACTTACAAAAACGATCGCCTGGAGGAAAGCTCACATTCGCGTGAACAATGACACCCCGAACAATAGCAGAGAGATTCGTAGCTTAACTGCGCACAGCAGTCGACACCGCTCTCTGTCTCTCTCGCTCGCTCGCTCGCTCGCTCGCTTTCTCGCTCTCTCAATCTCTCTCCGCGCTCTCTCCTATCTCTTTCTTCTTTTTTCGCCCCCCTTCTCTATCTCTTGCTCTCTCTCTCTTCTCTATCTCTTGATCTTTCTCTCTCTCTCTCTCTTCTTCGGTCTCTCTCTCTCTCTCTCTTCATCTCTCTCTCTCTCCTCTTTCTTCTCTCTGCTCCTCCTCTCTATCTCTCGCGCTACTCTCTCGTCTCTCAATCTCGCTCTCCTCTCTCTCGTCGCCTGCTCTCTCTCTATTCTTTCTTTCCTTTCGCCCCCTTTCTCTATCTCTTGCTCTTTCTCTCTTCCTCTCTCTCTCTATTGACTCTTCCTTGATCTTTCTCCTTATCTCTCTCTCTCCCTCCTCTCTCTCGTTCTCTCTCTTCTCTCACTCTCTCTCTCTCCTCTCTTCTCGCGTATCTCTCGCTCTCTCTTCTCTTTCTCTCTCTCTCGTCTCTCTCTTCCTCTCTCTCTTTTCTCTCTCTCTTTCTCTCTCTCTCTCTCTCTCTCTCTCTCTCTCTTTCTCCCCTCTCTCTCTCTCTCTCTCTCATCTCTCTCTCTCGCTCTCTCCCTTTCGTCTTCTCTCTCGTTTTTCACTGTCACTGTAAATGTATGTGCGTGTGTCTGTGCCGTGCGCTGCGTGCGTACGTGTATGGTGTGTATGCTATTCATTCCTCTCCATGGCTCTACCCCTAGCCGCTCTCACTCTCTCCCGCTCTCTCCGTTCTCGCCTCCTTCTGAATACATCACCAGCCTATAAATGTTGGCATGTAGATCCGCTAATACCACCAGCGGAGCGACCATGATAATGCGTAAGCTTGGCTCTATAATGATCCGGGCTTTCTACAGGCGTGACATGGCGATCTGCCACGTGATGCCGCAGGCCGGCGCGTCGCTTAAGTGTCTGCGTTAAAATAACTGATGACCTACAAACACTAGCGCGCGCACGCACACACACACACAGACATACACGCACGCACGCACACACATGCACGCACACACAATATCATACAACACCACACACGCACACAACACAACCACACACACGCACGCGCGCACCCACACACCCACACACGCCTCACACACCACAACATACACGCACGCGCGCCCGCACCGCGCACGCCGCACGCGCCATTCACACACACACATAACACGCACGCACACAACGCACGCACGCACGCCCGCGCCCTCTGTCCTCGTGTAGCTGATACAGAAGCCGTTGCCGCGACGCGGACCTCTCATTCTGAGCTATTTTTGCATCAACCCGCACACAATAAAACCATCAGACCACTCGCCGCATTCTATGCCATCCCTGGTGGTCTTTTTCTGTGCTGTGTGTGTGTGTGTCGTGATGTGTGTGTCTGTGTATGTGTGTGTGTGTGCTGCGCGTGCGTGCGTGGCCGTGGGTCCGCGTGTGCTTGGTGCGTGCGTCGCGTGTACCAGTTGTCGTGGTGCGTGCGTGGGGCATGCTTGCCGTGCGTGCGTGCGTCGCGTGCGTGGGCGTGCTGCCGTGTGTGCGTGCGTGCAGTGGTGCGTGCGTTGCTGGTGCGGGCGTGCGTGCGTGCAGTTGTGTTGCAGTCGCCGTGCCGTGCGTGCGTGCTCTCTCGCGCTCTCTCTCTCTCTTCCCCCTCGGGCGACACCGCCGGTTTGTCCACGCCCACCACTCGCTCACCTGTCCCTGTGAACTAGCTCCACGCGGAACCTCCCCCTCAGCTGGTTACCCGTTTGACAACGCGATCCCAGTCGGATCCACATCCAGATCCAGAAGTTATTACGGACAAACTCATCGAGGCTGGGGGCACTGTCCGTGATGGACGTCACTCGGCAGTTGACAGACGATAGCCGGGTATATTGCCGGTGTAATGATAGGGGGCGCCAGCGGCGCGGTCTCGAGTCTGCTTCTATGTGGGATTCCAGTGGCTTCCGTGCCTCGCTTATTGCGTCTGCGACCGAGTCTTTATGTCCCACATCTTACAAGCGCTGCGCTTCGTTTACCGACGTGCGATCAGAGGGATGGGCGGGTAGGAGGCGGCTATTCATCTCAAGGCCGCCGCGCCGCCGCCGCCTTGTCTGGAAACACGAGAACAGTGCCGCGTCAGGGTCAGGGGGCCACCGTGCGTAATATTTGTTTTTTTCAAATATGAGTAGAGATGAACGAGAACTAACTCTCTTGCTCTCTCTCTCTCTCTCTCTCTCTGTTATTTTCTCTCTCTCCGCGTCTCTTTTCACTCTCTACTCTCCCTCTCTTTCTCTCTCTCTCTCTCGCCTCTTTCTCTCGCGCCTCTTCTCTGTGCCTTCTCTCTCGCCATCTCTCTCGCGCGCTCGCTCTTCTTGCTTTATTTCTCTACTCGCGCAGCGCTCCTCGTTTATCACTCTCTCTCTCTCTCTTCTCTCTCTCTCTCTCTCTCTCTCTTCTCTCTCTCTCTCTCTCTCTCTTATATATATATATATATATATAATATTATAGTATAGATATATATATATTCGCCATCTCTTTTTTTCTCGCGCGTCGCGCTCTTCTCTCTCTCCTCTCTATCTCTCTTTTCTTCCCGTCCCCTTCTTTCTCCTTCAATCGCTCTCCCGCCGTGTCTTTCTGTCCTTCTCTGTATAGCTGTTCGTTCCCTTATCGCAGGGACCGCTTACGTAGGCCCAGGATTCATTCATTACCGGCATTCGCTGACAATTAGTGAAAGCTTTTCATGCAAGAATCGACAACACGTGCTAGGCACACACCACGAAGGCCCTATATTATATCTCTCCCTCCTCACGCTGCTGTGTCTATGCGGGTCATATGTGTGTGTCGTGTGGGCGCACACTGTTCGGCGCGCGCGAGCGGCGCGTGTGTGTGTCGTCGTGCTGTGTAGTGCTGTGTGGGGTGGTGCTGTGTCGCTGTGTGTGTGTTGTGTGTGTGTGTGTGTGTTGTGTGTGTGTTGTGTGCTGTGGCCACTTGCTCCCCCGTGTGTGTCGTTTGTATCTCTGTGCTGGTGCACGCTATTTACTATGCATCAGTGTTCGGCCAAGTCCACCATAGCATAATCCTAGTCCAACATATGATTTATTAGGCGTAACTCAATAAACTCGACATATTATTATATATTATAATATATTAATATATATTTTATAAATTAATAACCCTCTTCCAAACAACGAGACCATACTTGTATTGTTATATGTAAAAGCTCGTCAAAGCTATACTATTACTAGAGGGGGAGCGGTGTGACAAACTGGGAGGCAGAGAGAGAAAGAGAACGGAAGAGAGAGAGAGAGAGAGAGAGAGAGAGAGAGAGAGAGCAGAGAAGAAAGAGGAGTGAGGAGAGTAGAAAAGAGAAGCAGATAGAGCAGATGACGAGAGAGAGCAGAGAGGAGAGAGAGAGAGGGTGGCATAGAGATAGAGAGAGTTAGAGAAAAAGTTAAAGAAAGAGAGAGAGGCAGAGAGAGCTGCAAGTAAGAAACAGATAAGCGAAATGAATTGGGAGGGTATACGTAGCGGTTGTCGGTGGACACACAGGCAGAGAATTACGGCAGTCAAAACCCAAATGTTTGCAATCGGAGACACCAGGTGGAGCTGTACCCGCCCGCCGCAAGGTGGCGTGACAGGCAGGCCATCAGTACGTTAACATCTTTTACCTTCTCTCTGCTTTCAGACGGACGCATGCGCTTGTACGACGACGGCATCAACAGCGACATCTCCGGCCTTCTCTGGCGAATCAAGCAGCAGCAGAAGCGCCCCCTGGACGCGGACCCGGCGCCGGCAGAGGGCGTTCGCTACTGGTGGATGGACAAGCGATTCACGCGTCCTATGCGCTACCATCACTTTTACTACGGCGGCGAGTTCCGGCCAGGCTACGGCGATCCCTACGCTCAGCTCGACCGCAGCGCAGGATTCATTCCGGCGGCGATCGACGACGACGACGACGACGACGACGTCAGCGGACGCGTCGTCGGCGACACGCTCGATAAGAAGACGCTCTTCGGTCGGTCGCGCAACTCCAGAGGGCGCGGGCGAGGCCAGGGCACCGTGCTCGACCCGGCCTGGAGCTGGGCGGGGCTCGGCAGGAGAAGGCGGAGGTAGATGGTGGCTCGGCAGGGGCGCGTCGGCGACGTGCGTGCGTGCGTGCGCGCGTGGTCGCTGCCGACGACACCGACGCACCACCGACCGACGCTGTCGCAGGTGATTATTCGTGGACTTCTCACTTCGTCATCATCTCTGTCGTTGACCTGCGTTACAAGTTAGAAGCTGATTGAGATCATATCACCCCCACCCACCCACCCTACCGGAAACCTCCCCCCACCCACTCAACAACGGCTTAGTGACAGCTCGCCCCTCTCTCACAGACGACGTGACGTCACCACCCGCGCACTCACCCGCCAAAAGAAGCAGAAAGCCCGTGGACGTTGACTAGGAATCCCCGCAGCTTGATCGCAATGTCCGGGTCTCCGTTAGGTACGCGCATGCGCGTGCGTGTCGCGCGTGCTTTCCCAGCAGAACGTCGTCACCACAAATGATTACATCCGGGGCCCACGCACAACAGCGTATCCTCTAAAGCAACACGGTTGCTCTCTCTCTCCTCCCTCCTTCCTCCCTCTGAAAGGAAGATAGCGACTGATCGCATGACGCGTGACGTCACGAAGTCCGATTACGTCACGCCGCCCCGAGTCTCGTTCGGCGGCGTTCGGCTAAATCCGTTGGCCGTCTGCTGGCCACGAGATGCGCGCGCATCCGGATGTGAATGTGAATCGTGTTAGTGGTTGTGAACTTCTGATCGGGAAGGAAGGAAAGAAGGGAGAAAGGAAGGAAGGAAGGAAGGATGGAAGAAAGGACGGAAGGAAGGAAGGAAGGAAGGAAGGAAGGAGGGAAGGAAGGAAGGAAGGAAGGAAGGAGGGAAGGAAGGAAGGAAGGAAGGAAGGACGGAAGGAAGAAGAGTGCGGGGGTGACGTCGGTGGTATAGGAGCGTGTTCACAGCACGAATTTTCGGACTAAACGCTTTATCTAGCTTCACGTTCTCACATTCGTTCATTCCAATAGCATCGTGTACGGCGCTACATGACGATTACATTACGTAAATTACATACGTAATGATGAAGGCTAACTGCACATATAGGCAGGCAAACTGGACACGTAAAGAAACCATGCCCTTCTTCTCATTGAATTCGGTTAATTCGAATTCGAGTTCTCGGCGAATTCGGTTAGCGGTGCAGTCGGTTTCCGTATAGACGCGGGCGAGCGAAGGTGAAATTGTACATAATTTATTTTATTTATTATTTATTTATTATCTGAGCTACTCTACTAATTTATTTTAACTCATCGAGCGGCGGCTGTATGTCATATGTCCCTTTGTCGTAACACGTGTAGCACTACGTATAAGATATTAGCGACAGAAGCGTTTCGAAACGGGTTAATAACGAAACAAAAAACATGAGAAAATGACCTACTATGTCATAACTCGAAGCTTAGACACACACATATGTATGTATATATATATATAATATAATATATATATATGCGCGCGCGTGTGCGGTTGAATCTCGATAGGAGTGAATCTCGTGTGGGGTTGAATCTCGAAAGCGATAGGGTTTGAATCTCGGACGATCTATACAGTCTGATATATAACGAGAAATAGCCGGTAAATTATGTGTGGGATGTAATCTCCGTGTGTTCTAATTTCGACTACTATCAAATTCAGAACAAAAGAGCATATATGATATACACTATTTATATATATA